GGCCGATCTCGGCGGAGAGGTGGCGGGGCCAGCTCCAGGAGACGCCGTCGTCCCGGCTGCGGATGATCATGGTGCTGGAGGCGCAGGGCTGCCCGTTGTGGGCGCACAGCGCGTAGATCAGGAAGACGGTGCCGTTCTCCCAGTCCACCACCACCGCCCCCAGGTTCAGGAGACGCCGTCGTCCCGGCTGCGGATGATCATGGTGCTGGAGGCGCAGGGCTGCCCGTTGTGGGCGCACAGCGCGTAGATCAGGAAGACGGTGCCGTTCTCCCAGTCCACCACCACCGCCCCCAGGTTCAGCCCGTCCGCCCGCGACCCGTCATCCACGATGAACGTGCTGGGGGACCACGTGGCACCTGGGCGGGAGAGACGGCCCTGCCGGGGTCACAGGGGAGGACACTATTTAGGGGGCCACCTTCTGCCCCCCTGTTCACCTCGTGCTGTGGCTGAGATATCTACTGTCCTCTGGTAACCCCGGGTGCGTGCCTCAGTTTCCCTGGGCACTGCCCTGACAGTGAGGTGAGGGTGGGCATTTGGGGGTGACACAATGGCAGGTGGTGCCCGCAGCTAGGTGCACATAAAATTATTCCACACATGGATGGAAAGGATGAGAGGCAACAGGGGTGAGTGTGAGTGAATCCTGCATGGAAATGTGGTCGCTTCATCCAAAAAAAGCTCTCTTGGCCTTGGAAAAGGGTCAGAAAAGGGCAACCAATGATTCAGGATTTGGAACGGGTCCCACGTGGAGAGTGATTACAAAGCCTGGGACTTTTCAGCTTAGAAAAAAGGAGTCTAAGGAGGGTGGTGATGACAGAGGTCTGTGAAATTATGACTGGTATGGAAAAAGTGAATAAGGAAAAGATATTTACTTGTTCCCAAGAGAGAAGAACTAGGGGTCACTGGATTAAATTAACAGGCAGCAGGTTTGAAACAAACCAAAGGACGGTTTTTTTCCCCCATGCAGCACACAGTCAACCTGCGGAACTCCTCGCCGGAGGATGTGGTGAAGACCAGGACTTTCACAGGGTTCACAAAACAGCTAGATCAATGCATGGAGGATGGGACCATTGATGGTTGTTAGCCAGGCTGGACAGGGATGGTGTCGGGCTGGGAATGGGTGACAAGGAGGGATTCCCTGTTCTGTTCGCTCCCTCTGGGGCACCGGGCACTGGGGGCAGACAGGACACGGGGCGGGATGGACCGTTGCTCTGATCCAGCCTGGCCGCTCTTAGATGACTGCCTGTATTAAGGTCATGCCTGAGCCTGGGCACCTCAGCAGATTTTGGGCAGGTAATTAACGTGGTGGAGAACGCGGGCGGGCAGGCGCGGACGCTGCCACGGGGGCCAATTCCTCAGCCGGCTCCTGCCAGGGAGAAAGGCTCAAGCCGTGTTTTCTGGAACCACCTCCCGCTCTGTTCCTCTCTCCCCGGCGACTGGGGCCAGGGGGCCCGTTCCTAACGGCCTGGGGCCACGCTCCGGCAACGTGGCAAGCCCAGCTAGGTCCAGCCTCACCCGGCGCGCCTGCACAGCCCCCCAGCAGGGTCCCGGAGGTGCTGGGGACGCTGGGGGACACGGAGAGAGGCCGTGAGCCCAGCTAGGTCCAGCCTCACCCGGCGCGCCTGCACAGCCCCCCAGCAGGGTCCCGGAGGTGCTGGGGACGCTGGGGGACACGGAGAGAGGCCGTGAGCCCAGCTAGGTCCAGCCTCACCCGGCGCGCCTGCACAGCCCCCCAGCAGGGTCCCGGAGGTGCTGGGGACGCTGGGGGACACGGAGAGAGGCCGTGAGCCCAGCTAGGTCCAGCCTCACCCGGCGCGCCTGCACAGCCCCCCAGCAGGGTCCCGGAGGTGCTGGGGACGCTGGGGGACACGGAGAGAGGCCGTGAGCCCAGCTAGGTCCAGCCTCACCCGGCGCGCCTGCACAGCCCCCCAGCAGGGTCCCGGAGGTGCTGGGGACGCTGGGGGACACGGAGAGAGGCCGTGAGCCCAGCTAGGTCCAGCCTCACCCGGCGCGCCTGCACAGCCCCCCAGCAGGGTCCCGGAGGTGCTGGGGACGCTGGGGGACACGGAGAGAGGCCGTGAGCCCAGCTAGGTCCAGCCTCACCCGGCGCGCCTGCACAGCCCCCCAGCAGGGTCCCGGAGGTGCTGGGGACGCTGGGGGACACGGAGAGAGGCCGTGAGCCCAGCTAGGTCCAGCCTCACCCGGCGCGCCTGCACAGCCCCCCAGCAGGGTCCCGGAGGTGCTGGGGACGCTGGGGGACACGGAGAGAGGCCGTGAGCCCAGCTAGGTCCAGCCTCACCCGGCGCGCCTGCACAGCCCCCCAGCAGGGTCCCGGAGGTGCTGGGGACGCTGGGGGACACGGAGAGAGGCCGTGAGCCCAGCTAGGTCCAGCCTCACCCGGCGCGCCTGCACAGCCCCCCAGCAGGGTCCCGGAGGTGCTGGGGACGCTGGGGGACACGGAGAGAGGCCGTGAGCCCAGCTAGGTCCAGCCTCACCCGGCGCGCCTGCACAGCCCCCCAGCAGGGTCCCGGAGGTGCTGGGGACGCTGGGGGACACGGAGAGAGGCCGTGAGCCCAGCTAGGTCCAGCCTCACCCGGCGCGCCTGCACAGCCCCCCAGCAGGGTCCCGGAGGTGCTGGGGACGCTGGGGGACACGGAGAGAGGCCGTGAGCCCAGCTAGGTCCAGCCTCACCCGGCGCGCCTGCACAGCCCCCCAGCAGGGTCCCGGAGGTGCTGGGGACGCTGGGGGACACGGAGAGAGGCCGTGAGCCCAGCTAGGTCCAGCCTCACCCGGCGCGCCTGCACAGCCCCCCAGCAGGGTCCCGGAGGTGCTGGGGACGCTGGGGGACACGGAGAGAGGCCGTGAGCCCAGCTAGGTCCAGCCTCACCCGGCGCGCCTGCACAGCCCCCCAGCAGGGTCCCGGAGGTGCTGGGGACGCTGGGGGACACGGAGAGAGGCCGTGAGCCCAGCTAGGTCCAGCCTCACCCGGCGCGCCTGCACAGCCCCCCAGCAGGGTCCCGGAGGTGCTGGGGACGCTGGGGGACACGGAGAGAGGCCGTGAGCCCAGCTAGGTCCAGCCTCACCCGGCGCGCCTGCACAGCCCCCCAGCAGGGTCCCGGAGGTGCTGGGGACGCTGGGGGACACGGAGAGAGGCCGTGAGCCCAGCTAGGTCCAGCCTCACCCGGCGCGCCTGCACAGCCCCCCAGCAGGGTCCCGGAGGTGCTGGGGACGCTGGGGGACACGGAGAGAGGCCGTGAGCCCAGCTAGGTCCAGCCTCACCCGGCGCGCCTGCACAGCCCCCCAGCAGGGTCCCGGAGGTGCTGGGGACGCTGGGGGACACGGAGAGAGGCCGTGAGCCCAGCTAGGTCCAGCCTCACCCGGCGCGCCTGCACAGCCCCCCAGCAGGGTCCCGGAGGTGCTGGGGACGCTGGGGGACACGGAGAGAGGCCGTGAGCCCAGCTAGGTCCAGCCTCACCCGGCGCGCCTGCACAGCCCCCCAGCAGGGTCCCGGAGGTGCTGGGGACGCTGGGGGACACGGAGAGAGGCCGTGAGCCCAGCTAGGTCCAGCCTCACCCGGCGCGCCTGCACAGCCCCCCAGCAGGGTCCCGGAGGTGCTGGGGACGCTGGGGGACACGGAGAGAGGCCGTGAGCCCAGCTAGGTCCAGCCTCACCCGGCGCGCCTGCACAGCCCCCCAGCAGGGTCCCGGAGGTGCTGGGGACGCTGGGGGACACGGAGAGAGGCCGTGAGCCCAGCTAGGTCCAGCCTCACCCGGCGCGCCTGCACAGCCCCCCAGCAGGGTCCCGGAGGTGCTGGGGACGCTGGGGGACACGGAGAGAGGCCGTGAGCCCAGCTAGGTCCAGCCTCACCCGGCGCGCCTGCACAGCCCCCCAGCAGGGTCCCGGAGGTGCTGGGGACGCTGGGGGACACGGAGAGAGGCCGTGAGCCCAGCTAGGTCCAGCCTCACCCGGCGCGCCTGCACAGCCCCCCAGCAGGGTCCCGGAGGTGCTGGGGACGCTGGGGGACACGGAGAGAGGCCGTGAGCCCAGCTAGGTCCAGCCGGCCCCAGGCTGTCCAGCCCTTCCCGCAGGCTCCAGGGCCACCCGGGAGAGGGGAACAAAACCCAGCCTTATAAGAGCCAGGGCGGCTGGGGGCTCAGAGCGGGGCGGTCCCAGGAGGGGCTGAACCCCGAGGGAGAGAAGGGGCTGTCCCATGGGTGGGGGCCCCCTCGGGAACCTGAGAGTCTAGGTCACCCCAGGGCCCCTTGTCTCCGCCCTTGTCTGCTCTTTGGGGCCGGGTTGAGCTGGCACAGTGACTCCCACTCCCCGGGTGGCCCTGGAGGGGTGGGGCAAGGGGTGGGGCAGCACAGCGGGGGGGGCCACCCCCCGGCACGGAACCAAGTCAGTTCTCTCCCCCCCCATCCCCACCAGAAA